AGGTTGACACCCAACTCCTCACCCTAACCTCTTGTGGATTCAATGTAAGCTGCTCCTTTAAGGGTTATAGGGTTATAGGGTTTAGGGGTTTAGGGGTTTAAGGGGTTTAGGGGTTTAGGGGTTTAGGGTTTAGGTTATAGGATTATAATCGGGCTACAGGGTTCGAATTGGGCGAGAAGGTCACAGGACTAAAGGGTGCTAGGGTTATAGGGTCACAGGGTTTTAGGGTAGTGGTAGTGGGCGGTTTACCCAGACCACCGGATGCCTTAAAGGGGGGTCCTGTAAAGCACCCTTTAATGGTTTGGGTCCCAAATTAGGGGATCTACTTGTTCATCCTCCCGGTGGTCTGGGTAAATGTTTATTATAGGCTTACCCCTAAACCCTAAACCCTAAACCCCTAAAGGGGTTAGCCCAGGTCGACGGGGATTGAAGTTTGGGAAGCATGAAAGGATCCCTTGCTGTCTTGGCCCCAAAGACCTTGCTGTAGAAAGACTAGGACTAAGGTTTGCAGAGTAGGGCGAAATAAGGTTGATTGTAGGGTTTATGGTTTAGGGTCTAGGGTTCAAAGGCCTGAAGGAATGATCAGAACATGTTGGAGTATTCTGAGCCATCAGGTATAGCCAATCCAAGTGACCCTCCCTTGGCTGAGGTGGTCGCCAGTCATCTTACACGAGGTGCAGTGGCGAACTTCCCCAGGGCACGACCAGCTTGCTGGTGTTTTTCCGCACCCTAAACCCTAAACCCTAAACCCAAAACCCTGAAGCCCTCTATCCGACTCAACTGGCTCTGACCCTAAAGCCGATCTTTGCATTCAACGCCCGGCTTGGGCTTTGCGGTGACGTCCGTTGGGTAGTTTAGGGTTCGCGGTTTAGGGTTTAGGATTCAGGGTTTAGGGTTTATATAGGGTTTAGGGTTTAGCGTTTAGGTCGCAGGCCTGGGCAAGAGTCGAAGGTGAGACGTATGGGCCCCCAAATATGGACCCTTAGGGGATTGAAGGGACCCTTAATGGTACATGTAGGGTATATAGTAGGTGTATAAGGATCCCAGGGTTAAGGGCCCATACTAGGGGCCCCATGGATTCACACTTAGAAAGAGTACTGTTCAGCGTCTCGGCTCAGCCTTAAGGATTTAGTTAGTGCTGGATAGTTGCTGTAATTAGACTCACTGTCTCAAGTTATTCGTGTCGACTGCACACTCTCGATCACTCGCAAGGGATATTTCTAGGATCCTTTAGGGTGAATGACGAGAGTAGTTGAACAAAATGGGCGCCATATTTGGTAATCATCATGTGCGCGGAATCAGGGTTGAGAGCTAGAAGGCTCGCGAAGCCATGAACCTCAAGTCCTAAGTCGTCGCATGCCGCAGAAATCCTGATAAACCCTGTCTTAGACCCTGCATCCTACCATCACATGGGTAGTTCTCTAAATCAGGGCCCCTTCTTAGGTTCCAAATATAGTACGGCACCCATATAAAAAGGACCCTAAAAGGGACCCTGTAGGCGTTTGGGGCCTGCGGGTGTGGGGGTTTAGGGTGCGTCGCTTGATGCCAGGGTGTTCCAATTGCCACGGTCGGCCTTACGGGAAGAGTCTGGACGGTGGAAGCCCCGGCGTATAATCAAGTCATATACGTTATAGTTAAGATAATTGGAGAGCGTTCACTGGGGATGCCACAGAATAATTTAGCGGTTGCGGCTTACGGTTTCAAAGAGGGTTTAAATTTGGGTAACCATGTCCTCTTGGGTTGGCAGTATCTCACGTGCGGGTTGATATTGTAAGGGCTTGACTCACTAGAGGCAGTGTCCCCTTGCAGTCCCTGTATAGCTGTGCTAGCAATATGACCCCAAACCTGTTTGAATTTATCTATTACCTGTGCAGAGGGTGGGGGTGCTTGACAACATTCCAACGATGTTCTTCATGTTTCGGGCAGCGTTGAGCAATCCTCTAAACCCCAGACCCTAAACCCACTGTCGAAACCCTCACTTTCGGAGTTGGGGTCAAGGGGCTAGGGCTTATATAGTTTACCCATCGACTCCATTGTAGTTCGTTTTTTCGGTTTAATTGGTTTTGTATTTAGGAACCAATAAAGGTAACCCAATAAAGGAACTACAGTGGAGACCATGCGTACAACCGTAGTGCTAAAGATTGGCAGGACCAGAGATGGAGTCTGCGCGTTCTATCCATGCAGTTTCTACACAACACCTTTGAACCCTAAACCCCTCCTAAACCCTCACCCCTAAACTCTGAACCCGAAACCCTAGACCTTGAAACCAAAAGCCCTAAACCCCTATAAACCCCTAAACCTTAAACCACAGAGAAGGCACCCCACAATCCCTACGGAGTTTTGTTGAAGCCTCCTTTCCGATTGAAACCCAGGCAAACGCTCCCTCCACGGTATAGGGATTAGGGTTTAGGGGTTTAGGGTTTATAGGGTTTATCGGGTTTCGGGGTTAGGGACCCCTAAACTTCCCTGAGCACAACAACCCAAGACTCTGAGCTTTGACAACCCCACACCCAAACTCTGAGCCCTACGCCGGTCCTACACCCTGAACATTATAGTGAGCTTAAAACATGTGCATGACCCCTGTAGAGCACGCGACCGATGGACCAATGGAGTTTAGGGTTTAGGGTTTAGGGTTGGGAGCCCTAAGCCAGAGAATCCGGTTCAGAGACCTGTTGAGGTGAGAATGCCACGGTTTCCGTAGACCTTAGCCCCAGCCACGCAGCTAGAGGTGCAGCTGGCGGCTTGGGGTGGGTCTTATCCGGCTTCTCTTCGGGATCTCGAGGAGGTTGGAGATAGGGTAGTTTTCTAAATTAGGGTCCCTTGTTAGGTCCCCAAAAAAGTACGGCACCCTTATTAAAAAAGACGCCCAAGGGGACCCTAATTTAGAGAACTACCCATATATATGTATATATATATATATACTTATATAATTAAGCATATATATATTTATACATATATATATATACACACATGTATATATATATATATACACATGTGTATATATATATATATACATGTGGGTTAGGGTTTACGGATTTCGACCTAGGGATTTCGGCCCTGTGGCTCCCTGCGTCTACGGACGAGTGCCCAATATCAGTTTTTGCTGCGTTTGTGAAAAATAACTGTGATCGCCCTCCCCGCGTGGTAAACAAAACGCCTAAACCCCAAACCCTAAACCCCTCACCCCTAAGCGCTGCACCCTAAGGCTAGTTGATTCATCGCCCGGAGCGCAAGCCCTAAGCCCCTCACCCCGAATGGTTAAGGGTGCAGGGTTTAGTAGGGTTTAGGACAAGTCCTATAGAAATCCTTCGGTACCGCTGTCAACGCCGATACAAGTCTCTTATCAATACACCTATTAGCTGGCCAGTCTTATCAATATCTTGTACCCTTGCAAACTCTACATCCTGCGCCTAAATACTAGTGCCTAAACCCTAAGCCCTAAACCCTAAACCCTAATGTATATATATATATATACATATATATATATACTTATGTATTTAGACCCTGAACATCCCTTGAACCTTATACCCTAAATCCAATTCCCTAGTCCCTAGGCTCTAAACCTGAAGCTTAAAGCCTTCTTGGTCAGGTCCTTGATTTGTTTGTTTTATGGTTTAGGGTTTCTGGTTTTGTGATCTCGTGATGTGCGAAAAAAATTGATGCTTGTTTTCAGTTCTGATGTTAGGGGGCCTCCTGCTTGCTTTTGCAGGATCAAGTGCCCAAAATCCTGCATTATTGCAACGCACTTCGGTACTCCAAGCACTCATATACCAGCTAGAGCCTTTGCACCCGAAGCCACCATAGCACCCATACACCTGAGGCCCCTATGGCTTGAGCCTGTTGCCTTGGAGACTTTCGACTTATGACAGGCTTGTTGGTCCAGTTTGTCGAAATCTGGCCGTGGCACGAGGAGATCGATTTGAGGTTTACGGTGTCGGGGTTTAGGGTTTAGGGTTTGGGATGCGAGATGAAGCAGAATCCCTAAACCCTAAACCCTAACCCTAAGCTGCTATATACTTGGCGTCTCGGCCTGTAAAAGTTTGATCCTGCCCCGTGCGTCTTAAACCCAACCTTGGCTTTAATTTGCACATAGTGCACCTGCAGCTGGCTGTGGCGAATGAAATGACATGGGGCTTCGGCGAAGTTCGGATTTACGAGTTGCAGGCATTGCAGTCGCGTTATGTCGATGTACCTTTTCTTGTCATGTTCATTGCGTTGAGTGGTGGTGTGGGTGTTGTGTATTAGTATGGCTTTTGTCGTCTTGGTGTTGTTGTTGTTGCTGTTGCTGTTGCTGTTGCTGTTGCTGTTGCTGTTGCTGTTGATGCTGTTGTTGTTGTTGTTGTTGGTGGTGGTGGTGGTGGTGATGGTGGTGTTGTTGATGTTGTTGTTGCTGCAGTTGTTGCTGTTGTTGTTGTTGTTGCTGCCTTTGTTGTTGCTGCTGTTGTTGT